GCATCTTCATCTACAGCCTAAAGGTATGCAGAGGTTGTGAAATAGAACCAACTAGTTTTCTTGACTTCATGTTGGAGTTGGTCTCTTGCAAATCGGATAAGATCAAAGTAAGTCTTCTGGTGAGACCGACTCGGACGAATCTTTTCATCATGCACAGACACACAGACACACACACATACAACAAATCTTCATCTGAGCCCGATTGATGTGGAGCATATTTCAGTTTTCCCACAACCGAATCCAACGGGACTCCAACCCGAGTTGTACACATCGTGACGAGGCATTTGAGGTGGCCTTGTCGATGGAGCAAGCATTTGTTTGCCCTTGCCATGAGCGATATTACTTAATTGCGATGTGAGTAGTATTGGAGACTACCAGATGGAGCAGCGACCGGCTGAGAGTCGCGACTGAGATAAAAGAGTCTTTTGGATTCATCGCTGACACCTCAAGAGCCAATCCGCGTCGAGCGGCTCCTCCTCGTATCCTGACGGGACTCGAGCCCAGGACAGCATTCATGACTGGCTGAGGTAGTGGAAACTTGGCGCGTCGTCGCGTGGAGAAAGACCGAGAACTGGGACGGCGTTCTAGAAGCAGGTGCTTTTGATGTGGCCAAATGAAGGCTGGCACAAGCCCCAGCCCCAAGCCGGCAACTGAGCGGTGGAGAACAGAGAAGACTGTCGCTAAACGCCAACAACGCATTCTCTTATCTACTTTTTGACTGCCTCTCTGCCTCCACCATTTTGTGCCTCGGTGCACTTTGTCCATCTGCCTCGTCGGACACGTACCTCGACTGGGCCCGACCACTGCCTCTCGCTTCTCATGCACCCTTTTGTCCGCTGTCGCGAAGCCGATCGGTACGGGCCATCTTCTGGCGCAGTTTAAGAGGAGCACAGCATTTCCTTCGCGTCTGTCGGAACGACCGAAAAAAAATGGCGCAGCAAATTCTTTTACAGCTCTTCAACATGACCATGACTCTCACGACCTCGGCGGAGCCACTGAAAGCCGGTCGGCTGATGACGTCTTGCGAGGAAAGTGAAGGCAAAAACATGACTACTCATAACTGCCTACTCATTCAGCTTTTAATGCATCATTTCATCGCGCATGCATGTGGCTTGTCAGAAAGTGAGTTGTGCTTTTTGCCCATCTTCAAATGGTCATGGTGAAATCCAGCCTAGGCTCGCACATGCACACACACACACACACACACA